TGTGCTCTTCCGATCTATTGATTTATTCTTAATTTATTTATGTGAGAATTATAATTATTTAAGCAAAGTTCACCCTGCTTTTAGCTCTTTAACGCTTCTTTTTGATATTCGAATTTGTTTATTCGTATGAGCCTTATCCGTTTACAATTTTAAGTAATAATATGTAAGTTCTTATATAATATATTATTACAAAATACTAAAAAATAATTTAAAAAAATATATATATACACTATAATAAAATATTTCTAATAATGCTACACAATTAATTCACGACTATCAAGTACATTTTAATTTAATCTTGTAAAAAATAAAATTAATTGTTTGATACATATTAACATAAAAGCAGCATCACAGTTATTAAAAAAATTTTATCTTAAAAAATTATAAAGAATTCACTGTTAAACATGTATAAATTGTTGTACATTATTATGTAATTTTATGCCCTGTTTAAAATATCATATTTTAATATTTAAGGAAGTAGGAGGAAAACAGGTATGAAACATCTGCTTATACAAGGTACATACATTATTAATTGAGATTTGTGACTTAAATCAATCTTTTAACAATATTGATGCTGTTTATAATCTGGAAGTAGGGCAAGTCATACTTGAGGAGAGCCTACGAAAATTTCTAGTCGTGTATTCGGATCACGTGGTCTCGCTTTGGAAGGCGCATGAGAGATCTTTTAGAACTTCCGGCGACGATAGAAGAGCGACGATAATTAGCCAGCAAAGATACTCCATCCTTATTAAACATTACAATTTTTATCGTAGGCATACCCTTACACCATGAAGAAATACACTGTTGTATAATAAATCGCGCTATTATCAGAACACTCCAGATAATTAGCAAAGTTACATCTGAAAATGGAATTGGTCGGTAGAACGTAATAGTCAGCATTATTTTTACACGAGTAGTAAAGCAGCGAGGACATACCTGCACTTTGAAGGGGCGGATATACGAACGCTAAGTGAAATCCGGGTATAGTCATCCTCCTGATTATGGTGACAATAATATATTTCAAATTACTTCCGATATAGTAATCGAGCGCGACGATTACGAAGTAAGATCCGAAAATCGCACGCGTAATCACTTCAGCGGCATCGGACATCGGCATCAGAAGCGTGGTTATTGCAAGTGTTAGGATTGCGAACACAGGCCAGAATAACCAGTTATGTTCCAAAACGTAAAACATCCAAGCTATAAGAAATCGGTAATTCGAGTTATGCGTCAGTGTACACTAGGGTGGACCTTATTTTTGACTTTTGAATTTTTTTCACGACGCCCCCTAAAGTTGTTCCATTTGGTGAGAAAAAAAAATGTGTAAAAGCTGAGCTCGATCGGATAACGGGAAGACGTGGCACATCTAACTTGAAGTTTTTAAATTAATTCTCGGAATACTTTGTAAATATCAAGTTTTTTGCAAATATTAAATGGCAATATTTCCGTAATGTGCTTCAGAGAGAGAAAAAGAGAAAAACACCTGAGTGAATTATGCAATTAACTCTCAATTTAAAATTCTTTTAAATTTTATTTTAGTATAGATTTATGATTTATATTTTTGAAATTTAGTACATGAAAACTTTATAATTCAAAACTATCGACGAATAAACATTTCTCTCTTAAACTTTCTAAAAAAAGTAATTGCAGCTTGTTCAATGAAATTGATATG